TTTAGATGAACAAAGGCAAAAGCATCTCATAACCAGTATCCATGAAAAAGCATGTGAACTCTCTTCAAACTCAATGCTTGTAGCACTTTGCGAGGTATATAATATATTAAGCTTCAATAAAGAACCTATTTTAGCAAATAAATCTTTATTAATGTAGTTGAATTTTTACTAGGAAGCAGTTGAGAAGCTCACTAGCATGAATCACCCTGATGGAGATTGTCCCTTGTGTTTATCTCCTTTGGTTGTTAATGAAGAGGGTGCTTTGGATAATTCTCTACCTTTTATGAAATTAATGTCTTGTTTCCATTGCTTCCATTGGTAAATAAAAATATCTTATTCTTCCCTGAATTCTTATGAGCAAAAGCAAATGATGTCTTTGTGAATTATGAACTCTAATTTTGTTCATCTTATGCAGTGAGTGCATTATCAGGTGGTGGAATTGGCTCCAAATGCATCAAGAAGTTGATCATCATGCTAATTCATCTACACATGCACACCAGATTAAAACTCAACCAGGTATTCTACTTAAGGGTATTAAAAATGTATTATTATTACATGCTTTTATTTGACTATAAGTTGACCAAAAGTATTGTACTTAAGGGTACCAAGGGTGGGCCCTACAGATTCACAAAAAAGCATATCAAAGTTTCTCCCAATTGTAGCTACAATAAAATGTGGATCACCTTTTTCTTTCTGTCACTAGTAAAAAGGGTATTTTAGACATTTGACTGATATGTTTATTGAACAGAAATAAAAAAAAACATGGAAGATCGAATGGGAATCTGCCCTGTATGTCGAAAAGTTTTCCATGCCAAAGACATTGAACATGTGCTCAACTTAGTGGGGACTTACTCTCAATTGGTATCTCCACAAAATTATAATTTACTTTTTTTTCTTTTCTTATTATTATACAAATCATTATTATTCACATCACAAAATCATCAAAATTTCATTACTTTAAGATTCATGTTGCATAAATTTGTCCCTAAAGTTTAAACAACATTTGAGAATGCGACAACAAATTTTAAAGGGTAAATTACACGAATCGTCCCTCGTCCAGGTGCCAAAAAGCACGTTTAGTCCCTATTTTCAAAAATTAACTCGAACCGTCCCTGTATAATAATTTTTTCACTCGGATCGTCCCTGTGGACATAAAATGACATTTTTACCCTTAATAATTTCTTTTTTAATTTTTCATATGTATTTATCATTTTTAGATTTAGAAAAAAAAAGAAAAAAAAAACAAAATACCCTACCAATCAACCCACCTGTCCCGGCTCCTCCTTCCCCTTCGTTTTTCCCCCTTTTCTTTCTACATCATTGAAATCAGGTCTCCAGATGAAGACCACCATCCACCACTCCATCTCTGCTTCTCCGTTCGCCGCCTGTCCACCACCGTCTAAGATCTGCACACCATTCACGAAGTCGCCGACAACCATGAAGTTGTCGGAAACCACAACCACACATCTCTTCTATTTCTTTCTCTACCACCATTGTAGCAACCATCATCGCCTACATCTGTGTTCGAAACCACCACCTCCATCTGCGCACAACCATCACCGTCTTCTCCCTCACCCTCGCCTGGCAAAAGCAGAAGAATGGATCTACTTTTTTGTTCGCCTCTATCTCCATTTGAAACCCTACAGCGGAGGTACATTCCGTCGGAGTAATATGAGAGGGTTCCGTGTTGAATCAAACTCGGCAAAGTTTCAACCTTAAAGAAATCGAGTCTGCCATTACTCACATCTTTGGAAAAAATCAAATCTAACACCACCTGGAGTGTAGATCTGGAGTGTAGATCTGCGAACAGGTGGTGATGGTTGGTGTTTCCGCCTCTCTTCCTTCGGCTGGTGTTTCTACAAGGCTTGGTGGTCGACGGTGGTGGCTTAAGGAACCTTGGGAAGAAGGGGGATAAGGGTTTATCAACGATGTTTTTGAAAGAAAAAAAAGTGGTAGTCAACTGTGGTGTGTGGTGGTCCGGCGGTGGTCAATGGTGGTGCTCAGTTGTCCGGTGGTGGTGATGATTTTGCTTTAGGGGAAAGTGGGTTTAGAAGGGAAGGGGTTAGATAAGGTGGGAGGGATGAAGTTTTTATTTTATTTTGTATATTGTTATTAATTGTAAGAAAAATAAAATAAATCAAAAATTAAATAAAAAGGGCAAAATAGTCATTTCATGTCTCGTAAGGGATGAAATGTGTAAATTTAAACTAACGAGGGATGACATGTGCAACTTTTAACCAAATGAAGGACGATCCGAGTTAATTTTTGAAAATAGGGACTGAACGTGCTTTTTGGCACATGGACGAGGGACGATTCGTGTAATTTACTCAATTTTAAAATTTTGGGACTAACATTTTCGAATGAGACTTTAGGGTCTGTTTAATAGTTGCTGATTGAGTCAGATCCAACCTCTTATCAGACCAGTAAGAGGCATATCAAACTCTTACGTTATAAAAAAAATAAATTTCAGAGTAAATTACACGAATGGTCCCTATGGTTTTGGGTAATTTGCACGTTTGGTCCCTAATTTATTTTTTTAAACTCGGAAGGTCCTTACTGTTAGTTTTTGTTACGCACTTGGTCCCTGTCTTACCTAAAAAGACTATTTTGCCATTGATTTTTTAATTTATTTAAATAAACACACCCCAATTCACCTCCACCTTACCTTACCTACCCCACGTTATTTAAATAAATTAAAAAATCAAGGGCAAAATAGTCTTTTTAGGTAAGATAGGGACTAAGTGCGCAACAAAAGCAAACCATAGGGACCTTCTGAATTAAAAGAATAAGTTAGGGACCAAACGTGCAAATTACCCAAAACCATAGGGACCATTCGTGTAATTTACTCTAAATTTCACTCAAGATTAAATAAAAAAGAAACAACCATGTACACATAAAGTCTATTTATCTTTTGGACCAAGTGAACAGTCTGAATGTGAGTAAATGACCATTTTACCCTTGGACTCAACTTTCAGAATCTCGATGACACCGAAGATACAAAAAACGATACGATTCTTAATTCGGATTCAGAAAACACAAAGCGAGAAAAGTTCGAGGCTACAATGAAGCTCCAACAGGAGAACAATGGCTTAATCGAGCAAAAAAAGACTGAAGTTCTCATGCCCGGAATGTTTCTCCCCCGCCCCACCCCCACCACCACCACCACCGCCGCCGCCGCCGGAGAACAGGCGGTGAAATCTGAGACGGATACTGGTGTTCCGGTGAATAAGCCGAGTGGTAGTCACCGGAGAAGCTCAGGGCCCAGAAGCAAGTATAGAGGAAGGAATTCAAGAACTCAAGTTAATAATAATAGACAATGGGTTGTTAAAGATAATGGAAATGTTTAGTGAATGTGTGTTTTTCAATTTTTTAGAAAATTACAAATTTTGTCCCTCTACTTGTGAAAATTGCGGATGTGGTCCTTCAACTAAGGGTTTTGTACTTAATAGGTCCCTGACTTGCGAGGCAAATTAACCTTCAAGGTGGTGTTCGGAATGTAAAAGTTTTGTTTGATTTTTTTTTTTCTTTCATTTTTGATACATTATAAGAATTAGTTACTTTCAATTAAATTAACCTTTTTTGTTATTTTCTGAATATAATTAGATCTTTTGTTATAATTTTATTTTAAGATTTTAAGATTCGTGGTATTTTATTTTTGTTTTTGCTTTTGCAACCAATTTTCAAAGTAATAAAAAGTTTGGCTATTTGACATAGTATATATACAATGTATATTTCAAATGACCTGAAACATGTTGAAATATAATTTATTTGATTCAAGATTATTTATATAAAATAACATTTTGTATTTGTTATTTGTTATTTTAGTTTAATTTTGTTCCTAGGTATATGATTTCATTCCCTCGTACCATTACTTTGTTCATTACAAGTTTTTATGATTTCATTGAACACATTTAACTCTTAACTTTGAAAAAAAAAAGCAGCAAAAGGGGTATACGTTGCTATATTAATTTAATGAGAAGTTAATATTTTGTGTACATATATGTAATTCCATTAAACAAGTGGCAAATTAGGATACTTCAGTTTATGTATATTGTATAGTCTTGATAGCTTGTGTTTAGTTGCATCAAATTATAAGCAGTTTTAACTCTGGTTAATAAGAATGTGAAAATAGAAATCTTAAGACTTTCATTATGGTGTGAATCCTTTGGGAATGAAAGTGAGCTTGATAATGTCTAGAATAAAAGTCTTGGCCCAATACGTTCATCAACAGAATGAGGTTCAGGCCCACTCATTTTTAACATCTAGTTCTTGCCTTCTCGTCTTGGTCAAAAGATAAGAATAATAAAATAAAAAAAAACAAAAACAAAAAAAGTTATATATATATATATATATATATATATATATATATATATATATATATATATATATACACACACACACATAGCATATGAATAGGAAACTGAGTTTTTTTGGTAGAATTGGTCCCTGCACTTTGTCCTCATTCTTTACTTATTTTGATACTTTTGGTCCTTATAATCAATATTTTTACATTTTTAGGAACATTTTAATATTTAAATTTTCGCTACAAAACTTTAACGATTTGACAATTTTGATCAATTTTCTAAAAATTTGCTAATTCCTATCCCTTTAATTCTTTAACCGTTTTGACACTTCTGATCCTTGCAGTCAAAACTTTTACATTTTTTCATAAAAACATGAAAAAAACGGTCCGGGATAAAGCCCGGACTTTTCATCCTTACACTTTCTACTTTTGTCATATATACAATAATTAAACATTTGTTTGTGAGATATGAACAATGTAGCTAAAAGTGCTGCCTAAAATGCACCATCTACGAGAGAATAGCTGCCTTAGAATTTAATATTTGAACTAGTGTAGAGACCCGTGCATTGCACGAGTCAGATGGTCGGTCAGATAATTTGAAGTTATATCAAAAGACTACGACATAATATAGAGAATACAATCTTTTATGTTTGTCTGTTCTAAAGGAATGAAAAGTACACTGCTAAATTTGGTTAGCAAAATGCCATATATTTGTCTTTTCCTGGTTATTCTTCTGTCTTTCCCAGTTTGTGTGCCTTCGACTGTCATCATAGCCGAGCACCTTCGACTTAGGTCACCAAGCTAACACAGAAACAAAGTAATTATATTTTGTCACTCTAACCAAAATATACATTTGATAATTATTTTCTCAAATGACATGTCAAGTAAGTCTGTCAATCTTTTGGTCATTTCCAGATAATCTTCTGGCTTCGACTCTTTCCACCTCTATCAAAAAACCAACACCTAAAACGAAAAACATTTTTAATACATTAGGAATACAAAGTATAAACTAAAAAAATTTAAGTTTAAGTCCATCACAATACCCTTTGGTACTACATAGCCTCTTTCCCCAACAGATTAAAAAATTATTAATTTGATAGCAAACCATATTATTTTTACAAATATAAAGTATAAACACTTACTTAGGGCTTCAAGTGCTATAATTTTTTCTTTAGGATGAGATTTTAGCATCCTTTTCACAAGATCTTTTGCAATGATTGATATGCTTAGATAGTTATACCAAATCGGAGTAGTACCTTGTGCATAGATTCACCAACATAACTGAGTTTAAGTCCATCATTGACCTTCCATTTATCCGGAGCTGCCAATTACATTTATCTGCAAAAAGGATATCATATTTCATGTGAAAATTATGTGAATCTATAAATCAAGGGAACAATTGTATTGGGAAGAAGACAATTACTGATGTTCCTCCGACTATATTCAGACTACATATCTTGAACCAGACAATCACTAAATATAAAAACAATCAACATATTCAACATTGGATCAAGGTGCTAGCAACATGTTTCAAAGAAACACCGGAAGGGATAGGGAGAACTTGATAGAAAGTGGGGCATCCTTTCTTTTCTCTAAAAGGGTAAAACTGTAATTTATTAATACAATTGTTAAGAAAAATATTACGACTGAACTTCCATTACCCAGAGGAAACTTTGGTAAAGGTTGGTCCACTTCTTTAGTAACTGTTCATAGAAAATGTCATAAAAGTCACGTTAATGTTAATCATCATTTTCATTATCAAATATACAAAGAATAAACCTACATAACCTCACATCTCAAACTTGATTTATTGTTCTCTAATTCATTGTCCAATTGATGGTGTACAGTGGTGTTCATAGAAAGTTGCTTTGTATAAATCATTTGGCAATGAAGGATCAATTCATGGTTGTAGTTTTTGGTCGCAAGCATAAATGAATTAACTTAGTTAGAATCAACGTTTGCAATTAAAATGTGTAAAATCACAACAATTAGGGCATATAATAAATCTTCTAATGAGCTTATTAAACATCCTATAAGTCTAAAATTTGGATTGAGCTCCAAACTGACATAGACATATTTCACTTTTATTCCAGAACTACTACTTGTCCTCTGTTGATCTTCATCGCATATTAATGAAGAAACGAAGTTCAATCGAGCTTTCAAGAAACCCTGTCTGACCGAAAATGCAGAAAAATGTAAGAATAAACAAAAAAGGCAAAAAAAAAAGAAGAAATTACTTTAAGTTGTGTTGTCTCTGTCATTTATAACTTGCTACCTCCAAAATCTCAAAAAACTGATGTTCATATGCGTTAGGATGTAAGGGGCTCGATCACAGACCTGGTGGCTTAACGGTGGTCGAATAATTTGCAGAGGAGAGTGGAGATGGAGATGTAGACGATGATTTAGGGCTTTTGCATGGTCCTGTCAATATCCTGAAGAGAATCCTAATCAAAGAAATCGGCGAGGCGCCGAGGCAGTTTCTGCAAGTACTCAACCGGAGCAAAAAAGGAGTGATAACGATAGAGAGGAAAAAGGTAGCGGTGGAAGGAACTGGAAGGCGGCTCGGAAGAAGGAGTGAAGGGAGAATGTGTTGAGAGACGGTGATGGCGATGATGGTGATAGTTCCTCCATCTGTAGGTAAATCCATGGTTGATTTTGGAAGATGACAGAAGAAATTGTTAAAGGAAACGAGATATGGAGTTTTTCAAACTGGAAAGAAGGTTCTAGGAGGGCTAGTGATGGATCGGTGGAGTTAACCGTGGTTAAGGAAACTAACCTGATGAACAGTATCCAGGTAAGATACTATTCATAAGGACATTGTGATTTAATTATGTAATTGTTTTGAAATTAATTTACTTAAATTGTCCTTATAGTTTTACGTTTATTCATAAGTCACCCACATACAAACTTTTTTATTTTTATTTTTATTTTTATTTTTCACTTTTTACCTTTACAACCCAATTAACTTGCCATTTGCAACTTTTTTTCCTTATTTTTTTCCTAATATTTATCCTTATAAATAGATATCCCTTTTTTACTTGCATTTGAAGCCCTTTCATTTTTATCGTGAAAAAACTATATTTTTATAAATATACGTTGCAAGATCACTATATGCAATGGTATGGACTTTATATAATTTTCTACCAACAAACACAACTATACCTACTTTTTATCAACACAATCGTTAAATTTAATTAAAAATAGATTGGAACCGCCGCAACAACTTTTTATAGATTATTCAAAAACATCAAATTTATAAAAATAGTCTCTAAACTCATCTTAACTTTCCTTATATGGGGCATTGTACTATTTCTATTTAAAGTTACATTTTTATCGATTATTTAAAAACCATCAAACTTAAAAAAATAGTCTCTTAACTCTTCTTAACTTTTGATAATTCACTCAATGCTTATTTCTTTTAAACTTTTAGTGTTTTTTAAGTTATGATATTCGCATGAGAAACACACGTAGGAACCCGCGACAAAGGACGGACTCAAATACTAGTACGGTACATTATATAAGCGCTTCTGGATTTTGTAAAAAAGACCTTTAAGTGTTGTTGAAAAGAAAGGGTAAGAACCATGAAAAAAAGGGAATAGCTTGTGGTGTACGAGGAGTCAAAACAAAAAGTTGGATAAAAAACATTTGTATAAGAATGGGGTTAATTTTTTTTTGGCTGTTCAAGAATCACACTTGTCTTTGTCTCAGATAGATACTTTTAAACTATAACCCTATAAAGTTTTGAGAATTATCTAATCAATCATTAAACATCTTTTTTTTGGCTTTATAGGAGCATAAAGTGAGTTTGGTTGAGTCTAATAGTGAAGGTGTAAAAGGGTTACCCCTTATGCTAGTTCATTTTTATTTCACAAGTATAAAAGATAAAAAACATCCCTACCCCACGTTCGTCCTAAGTTCACCATCCATTGATATATCTCTCCTTTCTCTTTCTTCTCAAAATAAAAAAAGCCGTTGGAGTCCTCCGAACCTCCGCCGGAAACATTCGATCTGCCGCCGACAACCTCTTACCCACAACCGGAGAAG